TTTTAATAGACGCCATCTTCAGGCAGGGTCCATATTCATGCCAGAAGTTAAAAGAAGAGAGGGGACAAAGGGAAAAAAAAAAAAAAAGAAAAAGAAAAGAACAAAAAAGGATAAATTCTTTATAAGTTGAGCAATGTTCCAATTTATGCCTTGCCTTTAAGAGCAGAAACAAAAGTCCTCTTCAGTTTTTAAATGTTCATATATGAGATTTGCTGTATGTTGAAAGCAAACTGTAAAAAGAAAACTTGCACACCTACAAAAATATAGCTGAAACATCCAAAAGCAAGCCAAAGTAGTACAGAAAAAGCAAAGCAGATCAACTACCTATCATTAAAGTTTCCCAGGATCATTTTGGGTTGGAAAATTAAAAATCCAAAGTGGGTATCCACCACCAGGTTACTGAATTTTAGATTCGAGGGAAAAAAAAAAACACACAGCAGCTTTCATCTCATCTGCTACAAAGCTTTTCTTGCAAAACTGCTGAAGACAGATTTGTTTTAAGAAAAAGCATCTCTGAAGAAAGACATAGAAATTTGTGTTGCCACAGCAGCATATATTGATGCAATATGCCTCTTCCAAAACATAAGCCTTCAGATCTAACATTTCAGACTGTGCACGGACATTTCAAATTTCAGCATGTACACACGTCAAAGCTATTTCCCTTCCAAACCTAACAGATGAACCAACATACAGTGGAGATTAATTTATGTGCTAGGCTTTAACTTTCAAACTTGAACCCATTAAAAAATTTTGTGTGAAAAAGAAGTCTAGTTCAAACTCTGTAAGATGGCATATTTTAGTTTAGCCCTTCTAAGTGAAAGAGGGGAAAAAGGTTAAAAAAAGTGTTTTTTCACAAAGCTGCAAGTGCAAAAAACAGGCAAGAACTTCATATACCATCTTTTCAAGAAATGTTTGACTCCAACTAACCTTTCCATCATTGTCAAAAGAATCAAAGAAAACTCCAACACCATTCCATTCATCAGCTGCCCCAAAAACAGGACCTTCCAAGCCTTGCTCTTCTGTAAACCAGATTGCCTATTTACAGGAAACAAGTGAGAGTCGTAAGTTGAGATCCACTTTTTCATAGCGTGCCCATTTTTTAAGTTATATCAAATTCTTAATACCAGTCCATCAGCTCCGATGCGGCCTCTTCCCGTAACTCGAAATGTCACCTCAATCTCCCAGTATTCAAACATTGATTTGTTTTTTGTCCATACTGATCCTCTTTGGCTTTTCAAGGATGTTGTGATACGAATCTGATCTGCACTTGGTATGGCATCTAGAAAGGAAAGAAACCAACACTGAACATTCGAGATAACATGTATAGCGCGTGCTCAACTAGCCAACTAATTAACCCTCTAAATTCAAAAAATCTCCTGGTGTTCTCAGGCAGAGAGCCGTTTTCAAAATAACTTTAAAGTAGAGAATTCAAACAGTGGAGAATTAAAAAAGAAAAGAGCATCCCTTATTCCAAACAACTTAATTACTATTGCTTCATAGAGGACTTATTCACCTTCCACATGGGACTAAAATGCACAGCTTAAATAGAACATTGGCCCTGCTGTGAAGGTACCACACTTATTAAAAAAACAAAAATCAACAGATAAAAAACCCAAAAGGTTCAATTTCCTGCCATAAGCGTCCCACATGATTTTTGAAGCAATCACTGATTTTTCCTCTTGCTCTTTAAAGCGGAGGCAATGCTCTCGTTTCCAGTTTAGTAGTTCAAAAGAATAATGGGGCACAGATTTTGAGACATCAATCCGCTTGTATTAAATAACATTTATTTTGGGGGTCACCTGCTGGGAGGGGGG